CTGATATCTTGCAGATTTCGGACCGTAGGATTCCGTCGGTGATGTGTTGTTTTCTTACAGGAGATTCTTCTTCGTATGGTCCAGAGAGACCATAAGAGGATGATGCTTCAACATAGGGCCTACAACTCCAGTTCATTCGGGATAGATTGGCAGTTCGCTATAATACCGCAAACTTTCCTTATGCTGACCGGATTAGTGGCCGTATTAGGTCGCTGTGTGGAGGTCGCTGGATCGGAGCGAAGGGGATATTTCAAAGGAATAAATGACGGTAACAACCAGAACTTTTGCCCATGGTGCATTTTAGTCTAGCGGTCTTATTGCCCCCCACCGGTCTTGATAGAATACTATGCTGCTACTAGACCAATATAGTATGGTATGCAGCAAAAAGACTAATTATTCTCTGGCCTGATCCCAGTCGCCATCTTGGGGGTTAAAGTAATGCCGGTAAGAATAAAGTACTTTACGGTTGCAGGCCAGGTGCACTAGACTCATATCTTTCCGCTAGTAACAGCTGTCAACCCTAATTTCTAGTTAAAGTACGGAGTACCTTATCCTCCATTGCAATAATCCGAAATAATGAATGGTATAGCCCCCTGATCGCAGAGAAGGGCTGACAGGGAAATCCCCAGAAGCAGCCTGGTGGTTAGCAAGGTGTCCCAGAAGCACAGTATCACCGCCCGCGTTGATCATTCCTCGAGAAGCCTGTCGAGTTTGCGAGAACCTGGATTAATGCGGGTAACTGTTAAGTTGAGTCTCATATCCGTCCAGTGGAGACCCTCTCGCCACTCTCAAGGTAGATTAAGTCACAGATAGCCCAGGCCAGACCAAGCTGTGCAAGGGCTCAAAAGTATGCAGTGCGATTCTGGTCGTGGTGCCCGAGCTAGCCGTTTCGAAGCCTGTTCGGTATCTGGTTTGGACCTACTAATAAAAGCTAATGAGTTATACACTTAATACCAGGCTGGAGTAATAAGGAAAGGATAGGCACAGTGGGGTTTGCCAAATGGCAGCCAATACATATCCGCGGCAGTGCGTATTGGCTTACTCCTCCTGCTGCACTGATTTGGAAACACATTTTGCCCCCTAAACAGCTGCACCGGATTTAGCTTATCCAGAATCGACTTCACTTGGCACATTTCAGAACCGAAAAATTGTTTTTATTTAAAAAAAAATTTCCCTGGATTTTAAGGGCCTGTAACTCGACTGTTTAGCGTAATTTTCTGCGAGATAGGAAGCGGAGAGACGATTAAAGAAGCTCTGTCGGCTTGATAACTATTAGGAACTGTAATATCAAAATGCCTCATCAGAAAATCAGGTGAGGCATTTGTTTTGAATCTTGCTTTAGCTCCACGGTAGCACTGCAACAGGCTCTTCTTGGATTCCGTCACCGACCAAGCGTATCCATCCCCAGCCGATGGCTGTAGCCGGACTTGGCTGGGAGCGACGACAAGGCCAAGTCAGTCATCTGACGCGAGTTACTGCAGTTTCGCTCATCAGGCGGAGAGAAGACCATAACATACTAAAATAGGCTGCCAATGCCTCTCAGCACTGTTGTCTGAAGAGGCGTGCTTCTCATTGCTTGTGAGAACCATGATTGTACATGTATTTAATCCTTCAGACAAGGCTCAAACCCTTGATATATGTTCAGGCTAGGCGGTAGAGATCGTATGCCTCGACGACTTATCGGCTGAAGACGATCTGATTGTCGTTCAACCATGAACACCCGGTAGGGCCCACCGGTTACCGATGACCACAGTTGACCGTTGGAAATTGTCATTTTTTGCAGCGTTGATTTAACCACGACAATCGTGAGCAATATTCGGCGGGTTTGTAACTATAATCAAAAGAATTAACTCTTTCGACCATGAGTCCTCATCCATTGCAGTCCACACTCGCTCTGGGCTGATTTATCTAAGTACGCTTCTGGCGTTTGTTAGACCAGTCATGCAGCCCTTCCATCCGAACCACGGGTAATGCGACCGCAGGATTCGGATTCTCTCCCGCGGGCTGAGCTTTCCACGAGGTTCCAGCCCTAAAAAGGCTTCGAGAAAGCTTGCCAACTTTGCACTGGAAAAAGGCAAGGTCCACTGCTGGCGTTTCACATCCACTCTCGCTTTGCTTTGGAGGACTCTGACAAGGCTGCCAAGTTCAAGCAGAGCCCGCCCCGAAGTACGTTATCACCTCCAAGTTTCTCCGTATTTAGGATTCCGAGAATGTGGAATGGAGGAGATATCTAAGATGAGCAGGAATACAACCGTATAACAAAACGGAATGCCCCAAACCTCTGCTAACAACCACATTCGTCCTCGAACAGCGCTCAAGGTTAACGACGTCTCTAAGCGTGGCAAGAAGAAGACCAGAATGCTGTGGGTTTTTATTATCTTTCCGTATCTCTCATGTGCTAGACGATGAGAACGCCAAAAGATCGTGCTTATCTCCCGAGGGAGATCATTCTCCTCACGGCGGAGATTCTCAACCCTCGTGACCAATTATCACTCTTACGCGCCGTTCCTGACCTCGCCCGAGTCTTGACGTTCCGACACACTTCTGTCCAGGATGAAGAAGGAAATACAATCTTGCACCTTCTCGCAGAAGAAGCTGAGGGCAAACTGAAAGAGCTGCTATTAGCGAAAAGTAATACTCAAGTGGACCCAAAGAACAAGAACTGTCAAACGCCACTGTCTCTCGCAGCTCTGTATGGACGTGAAGCGGTGGTAAAGCTGCTTCTGGAGCGAGACGATGTGGAGGCGGACTCGAAGAATAAGTACGGTCGGACACCACTGTCTTATGCGGCTGGGTCACTGTCTTTTGCAACTGAGTATAAACGTGAAGCGGTGGTGAAGCTACCGGTTGAGCGAGATGATGTGGATGTGGACTCGACGGACAATAATCATCGGACACCACTCTTATGGGCAGCTCGATATGGAAATGAAGCGATGGTGGAACTTCTCAGCTCCCTGTCATAAATACCCAGCAGAAATTCAAGCAAATATGCGTGAGGATGATCAGGCTCCAGGATAGCAGGAGATGATACCTGACGTAACCTTCAAAGTGAGAAGCGATGTAGGCTGGCTTAGTCGAGAGTCACAACCACTCTGAGAATATTGCTAATCTGCTGAGGTCTCTTACCCTTATACCGCGTTTGAGGCAATATTGACATCCACAGTGCTCCTAGGAGCCGGTGCCGATAAGGCTGACTCGCGAAAAGATAATTGTGAATATGCATTCAAAGGTTGACATGACCGCTTCAGCCCACAGCATTTAAAGGTCATAATTGTCCTTGTGGTCGATTCTCTCAAGTTTTCTTTCCCCCTACAAGATCTTGCCATTACAATATCCATTGGGGGAACCAAGCAATCATAGATTACAAGCTGCCACGGATATCAAACAGGCCCCTTACCCCGGACACAGAAGTTCAAAACGGACATATATGGCAAGCTGGTATCATCCTTCTGGATCCCCTTTCTCGAGGAATCCATTGGCTAACAAGCCTGTTTCATGGAGGCAAAGAATCGGGTGACAAGTTCCGTCAGGTCATCGGCCATTTCATCCACGGAGATCGCGGCACCGCAAACCAGGTTCGCAGCCGTCCGTTGACCGGTCCCTCTCTGACTCTGTGCTACCTTTCTTGCTAGCTCAAGAGACTCTAAATCGCCTGAAAGCTGCATGAAGGCAGGAAACCAAGATCTACCCCCACTGGAAGGGAAAAAGAGAGCAGCCAAATCCTCAACCCTCTCGCTAAAACTGGCGACGCAAGAGATGCAGCAAAGGACACTTCTAAGAGTTACAGCAATCAATACGATGATGATAAACGATACGTGTCAATACATACAAGCGGTGTCTGACCACATCTCAGCTTCCGACACTATTTTCTCCGGGCAATGGGCCAAGATGCACCTCGCCGAGCAATTGCTACTGAGCAGGCACGAAGATATAATCGCGAGGGAAAGAATACGGACACACGGTGTGTTGGATTGTTTTCCTTCACAGGCTGAACCAGAAGAAAAGTCCCCGAGGTGTGTTGCTGCGGATGAGGAGAGGTTATGTGATTGAGAGGCTCCTCGTTCTTCTTAGCTACTGTAAGAACAAACGGTTAAGGGCAAACGGTTAGGAACTGAGTAAGGAGCGATAAGCGGCAGATTGCCCAACAACTCTGAAAATTCTCGAACATACTGCTTCGGCCTTGAGTGGCACTCCGCCTCATCCTCAGCTTATTATTCACTTATCTGGATAATGAACAAGAGTCCGAATAAATACCTCCATTATAAAGACAACTTGGGCTCAGCTATACCCGATCGGCTCCTTCTACATATGGGAGCCGACATTTTTTGCCTTCACAACCTCTGTCTCTCGGACAAAGGAAGTCACTGTCATAGTGTCTTGCAATTTACAATTCCACGTTTGCATACGTGGAGAAAGTCCAGGGCACAACTTGCGCGAAAGAGGGCTAGCTGGAAAAAGGCATGGTTTCCTAAGTAGCGTCGCCCAGTGAGGCATCGCCTCTGCATCAGCGATCAACTTCGTGATATTGTTTCGACCATCTGCGATGGAGGGTCTGTTACGTTTAAGTGAAACAGGTGCAGTGTGTTTCATGAGCCTCACATGATGCAGGGTTGAAGCACTTTAGCCGTGCGTTATCCGAAGTGTTATCTCCGTCGTAGCTGACCGGCGTGAGTAAGGTGCAACTGAGGGGGAACGAAGAGTGATTGCATCTATATCATGCCGTAATGCTAGTTCTGCAACATCGATGTACGAGCGCAGTCGGTTCACCACTCTAGACGGGCGTTCGGAAAGTTCCTTGCACGTCCAGCCATACGCTAAGAAACCCTGAAGAATCAATGCTGTTGCCACTTTATTTAGTGAGCAGCCTTTCTCCAGGATTTCAGGCCGCTGCAATCTGAGATATTCTAGTAGAAGAGAGACATCTCCCTTACTTAGTTTTCTTTCCCACCTGTTTCAATCTAGTCAGTTTCTTGCAAACGTCTGGAAGGCATACAACACACTTACACTGTGTTTACCTGGCTACCAAGCATGAGCAATAGCCCCGGGCCAGCATCCATCAGAATTTGCATGTACCTCTGTCCAGCCTTACGATCGGTTTTCACAGCGCCTATGGAGGCTGATATGCTTGCTGCGTGCAAAGACAGAGCGGCAGACTTTCTGCCACGGCCACGGGATAAGTGGAGGAGGTCAGAGGTCGCCAACTGTTCAAGATCATGATCCAAGAATATGTGACAGAGGCGACTTGCACAGTCATAATCGTCGCGGCCACGCTTCACCCGAAGAAAACCATGGAACAGTCGCTGAAAGCGAGCGACTGGCCCTGTACCAACGCCAGAGAAAATCCTTTCCCGAGTGGACCAAAGATTCGCGTATGTTGCTCCATCGAGTTCCATGGCATTGATTAAACCCTGGAGCGCTCGGGCTAGATAGGTCGCCCTTGAGTTTCGAGATCCCAATCTGGCCCTGAAGAAAGCCGCCGCATTCGTATGATTCTCCAGAGGAGCATAGGCCGCATCAGTAGAGCCAGTCTCAATCACTCCGTCTGGCCGGGAGGAAACGGATGAAGGCAAATTAGAAGCAACCATCGACAAGCTGGTTGTGTTTAATCCCTCTGGAGTGGAAGGGAAACAAGTGCATTGTTCCGGACCAACTACAACAGGGCTCGATGCAGCTTCAGCTATGAAGGTGGTGATATCAAGCGAAGAACTTTGTTGACAAGATTCCGTAGACATTTCTACTTCCACGGCCATGGTGGTGGCCCCTTCCTGATATGATGGCGAGCTGAAGAGGATCTGTCGTTCGATTTCTGTGCATCGGAACACAAAGCCGCGAAAGCACCCAAGTAGACCCTTATAACGCCGCTCAGATATAGGAAATAACACGATGAGGGTGCCATACTCACCGGTGAGTTGACAATAACAGATGGAGAAAGAGTTCTGAGTATCCGGGCTATAAGTTGCTCGTTGGTTTCATAATCCATCAGAATCGGGGACCTGCTAGGCCGTACAAAACAAATTTAGCAAAGCCGGGAGAGATAGCCAGGGCCACAACGTCGGCCTTTTTTTGGACTGAATTATTCGCAAAATTTTGGGAGACAATGACATTAAGTGAGAGCAATGCGGTATTTATTTGGCCCCCTATTCCAGATCAATGTGAAATCTATATAAATGCACATGTGAAGTTACAGCTTTGGCTGGAGCTGACAGGCTGCTTTAGTTAGATTAAAATGCTGGTATTTAGACTTCCCGCCACATTCGGTGGGATCAAGCCATGTGGAGCTTTTGCATAGAGTTTCCAGTACTGTGCCCTGCTGTCCGCAGAAAATGCGGAGTTTATGAGTGGAACTGACAAGCCGGTCAAGCTAACGTGCATAAGACCATATGTCGAACTGAGGGGGTGGTATTTTACCACAAAGGACAGGGTTATTCATCAAGTACCCATTCTCTCTGTCTCTGTATGGTAAACGGGGTACGCTCGGCATACCAGCGTCGTAACACGCTGGGAACGACTCCTGAAATCTGATAACGCTTCAACAGCAGGATCCAGATAGATACAACAATCAATGGATCTCAATGGGACACCTCAATACTAGCACATACCAGTATCTGTCAATCCGACACAATAGTAACATAAGTTATTGTCCCACAAAGGCTACGCTAACTGCGTTACTTCGGTGAAATATAGAGTTTGGTTCGTAAGGCCCCGTTAAGGACGCTGAGGAAATTATTCGAGATGCGCAAATGAAACGCAGCCGAGACTTCTCGGCTACTGCGCAGCGCCGTTACTACCGAGTCAGTATCTGTAAATGGAATGGCTCAGGATTCTCGGTGCACTGGCAGATTCCACCCAATCTTTCCAACCGGCGTCTAACCACGCAGACTTGCTCTGGATGTCTGAACAAGCGACTTCAATTTTTCGATGCTCCCGCTTGCTTAGTAGCGATATTGCCTATCGAGAAGCAGTGCGGCACAGTATTTTGCAGAAAGGTTCTTTAACATCAGAATACCTGGTCACAATATTTATATTCACCACACCAAGCCACCAACACGACGGTGTAGAAGGCAACTATGATTTCGGTTCAGGATATGATCATTCAGTAGAATTCCTAGCCCCTCATATTAGGGCCACTTTCCACATATTTTTCGGTCTTACTAAGAAGGCGTCGTTTCCCTTTCCTCGGTTTATTTTTCCCTTCAAGCGAGTGGTTTTATGGACAAGTCTATCATTTCGTACTGGGGAGTAGCAGAGGAAGAGGTTGTGATTTTCCCTGTAAAGAATGAAGCGAGAGGAAAGGGAAAAGTAAACCTCGCGAAAACCCGCCCAAAACCCAACTCAAGACTACTGTAAATGGTACCCCACCTGTGTAAACCACAAAAGGAAAAAAATTTGACATGTCATTTTACATAAAATTGTGCTGTATTTTTAAATTATATAATGGTAAAGCCAATGTTCGATTGTCCTAGCCTATGGCAAGGAGTATTCAGGACAAATATTATTGACAAATGAAATTGAAACCGGCTCATAATAAAGATAAATAAATATAGCTCGTAGTCTTGCAGGTGACCTGAAGACATTGTGACCCTACCAGAAGATCTATTCTCACTACTATTACCCAGTTGCGTGATTTGGGTGGAAGCAGATCTGCTTCGCATCTTCGTTCAGTTGTGTAGTGACGGCCAGTCTGTTTCCGCTGTCTCTGCTAGCATACCTTCTGCTTGGTTTGTGGTTTCAAACTCAATAATACTCTCGACGTCTTCTCTCTCTTCCACCTCTTCATCACCCTGATTGGCGCGGCGTCCTCTCAACTTTACTTTCAGCGCTTCATCCTCTCCAAGTGCCTCTTGGCTCTCGCCTCCATCGGCTTTTCCACGCGACTTAACTGCTGCCACTATAATTGAATTTCTCTGAGCGCATATACGTTGCAAAGTCGTGAATAGTCGCTTCATCAAGAGACACTCGAGAATAATAAAAGGTGTCTCATGCACTGCTGAAAAAGCCCTTTTTACACCCGGTGCCAGATGATGCTAATAGTCTGGCCAGTAGTCGCTTACCCTCCTTGGGGTTCTGCCTGACAAGATCAAACATTTTCGGAAGGGCTAGACAAATCGTCATACCGAGTTCTTCATCAAGCGCAAACCCGGCCGAGCGGCGCTCCACCTAGCAGTCTTCGCAGGCCGAATAGGATTCGTGCATCTGCTATTTTCTAGAGGCAGCGACCCTGATCTACAGGATGATTCGGGCCACTCGCCATGGGACTGTGCACGTCGCTTCAATAGACCCGTGATGGAAATGATTTTTTTAAAACGATGCGATGGCTAAGGTATTCCTTAGTACCAAATCATCACAAGAGGCTGAGCTACCTCTTCACCAAGCAGTGGCCTATGGGTCGATAGATGTTGTCAAACGGCTTCTCGGAGAAAAAGGTCTGAACTTGGACGCCCACGACCCGAATGGTGATACGCCGCTCCATCCCGCCGTCCATAGTAGACGCCTCGAAGTGGTCAATATGCTCCTGATTTACTCTCGTGCCAATGTGGACTGCAAAGACAAAGATGGCAATACGCCACTTTGGCTGTCTACTTACTCGTCATGCGACGAGATAACCGAAATGCTGTTAGCCGAGAAAGACATCAACGTCAATTTTGTTGGAGGCCGCGGGAGATTCGAGACGCCGTCTACATCTCTCCACCACGCCGCGGCCAGGTTAGATACCGTGCTCCTACGACGGCTGCTTGCGGTGCCAGGGATCAGTCTGAATCTCTGTGTTGGAGGCCACTCTCCAATCTCCGTGGTGCATATCACGGTCGCGTGAACACGGTTGCTTGTCAACTGAGTATGGAGGGTGTGGAGATCAATGGAAGGGATGTAATAGATCCGCCTATTTGTCGAGCGGTTGCACATGGCCATCTCGATGTGGTAAGGCTCTTAGTGCACGTCTGAACATCAATGAAAGTACGATCGTAACTCACGACACTGCTCTCTGCGTTGCCGCCAGTGGTGGTGACTTGGAGATGGTCCAAGCACTACTAAGCCATGATCTGATTGATGTCAACATCAGGAATCGATGGTCTGAAGATCCATTGATGTTGGCGGTCAAGGGTGGGCATTCCTCGATTGTTGATGCACTTGTGGTCAATCCCAGACTGGAAATCTTCAGTTTGAAGAGATCGCTGGATCTAGCAAGAAACGATTGCATCCAGAGGGCCATTCGAAGCAGAATAAAAGACGACAATACTCCTCAAACATTGTTGAAGCGGTCTCCAGGGAGAAGGTTCGGTGGTCTGTAAGAGCTGGCGACATCTACTTCGGGTAGCTGTCATGATGCAATGCGGGACGGCCGAGTTAATTGACACTTTCTCCGCTAGCTACACTGCCCACACTGTCATTGGACCCGTAGTTTTTTGTTTATAATGTATTGGGTTAATAAAAGCGACACTAGAACATGCGGGATTATTCGCAGACACATTCCAGAAAAGCTGTAATATGAGTTTTCGAAAAGATATAAGCTTCTTTCCCTGCGGTAACTCTTCATTGCAACATCGTTGGATACTGTACATCATTGGATACTCTCCACATGGTAAAAGACATAGGACAATCAAGAATATAGAATCCTTCAACCTTCTCTTCCTATGCCTGGCAGCCCTGCCAGGTTGAGTCTGCAAGGGTGATCCCAGTCATCGAGGATCCTAGTCAATCGACCCCGAGATGATTCCAGTGCCTGGTCAAAGAAGCGCAGCCGAGACAGCTGCTTGTCGTAGCGAAGCTGAAGTCCGTCCCTCTCTTTAGTCAGGTGTCTGCTAGCCTCCTTCAAGATCTGATTGCTCTGCTCTAGGTCCTGGCCATCTAGGTGTTTGGACACGCACGACTCCCATAGGCGTCGATAGAGTCCGACAATTCGACCTGCTGGAAAGGCGAACTTGGGATCGTCGCGTTCGAGGTCTGCTAGCACCTTCAGAATAGGTTGAAATGGCTCGGTCGCCAAGGCATGTCTTGTTTCTGCTTCCTGTGGCGAAAGAGAGAGCTGCGATGGTCAGCAAGAGCATTGGAAGCTGAGCCGCTTTACTTACCTGTGGTGGGACATGATCAGAAGCCTCCTGCGAATTCTCTTTTTCAGAAACGATTGGCAATGCACTAGGCTGTTGTTCTCCTTCTTTTTCCTGGTCTGGCGTGCTGTTAGGGGCATCCATCTTGATCGCAGGGGAACGAGTATCTGGGCAATAGCATGTCCACTAATTCTTGGAGGCTTTTATAGACTAGAGGACATCGGTGGCTAGGTTCTCAGTCTCGTTTTCACCATAAAAGTCAATCAGCGTAGTCAGCTTTTCAATCTCAGCACTCTGTTAGCAGTCAGTTTAATGATGGTGCTGGTGATCAGTCTCGTGGTGTTGATGGTTGGTGAATGTGCCTCATATTAGTGGCTTCCGGTGATGAACGGTCCAGGAGATATATATTCAATCACAACGCATTTTCCACATTCGTTTGAGAGCTCAGAAATCCCAAACGTAAATAGAGTAAAATCTAGAGGACAGAAAATGAAAATCAAAAAAAATATATCTATCTCAACCAAGATCACAGGTTCAAAACCCCGTCAACAAGGACGGCCAAGCTTCAACGGGTGACGGGTTGAGTACCCGTGCCCGCGCGACCACGGCCTGACGCTTTCCGCAGCCTAGACGGGCAGAACCACACACAGCTCAGACAATCAACACTCAAGCAAGGCCAGAAAATTTCCATGTTTTTTAGATGAAAATGTGAGCGCTCTTGGTAAGATCAAAGAACGAACAGCTTCCATTGCCTCAGTATTAGGACCGTAGATTCAACAGTGAGCCAACGTTTCTTAACCGACTCACTTTGATCTAATTCTCAAGATGACCCTAGCATTTTTAGTCGGTGGGCATCTAACATGACACCAAAAATTTCGCTGCAAATAGTTGCGGTAGAACGAAGGCATGAATTGCAACAGACCTCACTTAGGATAGCGTCGTGTCCTTGAACGTTTGCTCTATAATAGGGCACGTACGCGACGGAGCCGAGAAACCTATAAATTCGCCCTCTGCCCCCAGCAATTTGTTCTACAACACTGTCACTTGCTGCGCAAAGTCGAGCAGGCCTTCGGTTCGAGGCACCTGATAAGTTCTTCCCTTTCACCTACTGGATTTCCAATGTACTGACATCTATACTGTAATTACGTTGTGGACTGACAAGCTAGAAAGTGCTTCTGAGAATGAGATTCCCACCAGGTCCACTATGCCACCCATGCCAGCCGGTCGAGAAGCAGATCGGGGTTAGCTGGTCAAAGTATCTATGCGAACATCTGTCCACCATAGCAACCGACCACTGTCCCGTCCCTGAATATATCGATGCAAAATAAAGTCTTCCATACAGGTATGTAAATTTCAGCGCGCCCCTGTCCGAAACTAGACTTACTTCAGACAGGATGCGAAACAAGGATCTATGCATTCCGTCCAATGCACGCGCAAAGCCACGGAGCCCTTTTCCGTGTCTTCTTTCAGAACATGTGAGTTCTACATGTCTCGCCGATCGACAAGCTAATGATGGACAGGAGACCGTTGACAGCGCCCTGATGTGAGTCCGACCCAGCGGCGCCGTCAGTGCTCCGGGCAAGGTCATGGCTTACACACCATTTCTAGCCCTGCCACATCAAACCATGCAGCATGTCCTATGTGAAATACTGCAAATCAAAGGTGCGGGCCAACAACAGGACGCATAAGCTCGAGAACCTTGTTCTCTATGGTAAGGTGAGTGGATATCGCGGCTCTTGATGCGCCGGGTCCGATGATTTGTGCCAAGTCTGTGCCCCAGACACAAACACTACTGACATCTTCATGCCGTTGCAGGAGCAGCCCATCGCCAACCGCGCAAGGTCTCGTGGCGAGTTACCTATTCCCGCCGACTCAGATAAGACCAAGGAGCCGACGCGCCATCGCGTCTTCCCACTTCTCACCGCCTTTTCACACGACTTGAGTGCCTCAGCCTCTCGCCGCCTATGGGAAGCGGTCTCCCTTTACGACTGTACAATTTCTTGTCATGGGCGGGTTTGTCACGCGCATTTGCCGTCTTGTGAACTTGTCGGTTCATCCAGCGCGGCTTCTCGAAGCGACAGCCGGAGAGTGTGACGAACCTGGATACAACATGGCATATTGGTGACTGCATCGCAGAACTGATTTGACAGTGATCTAGTTGGTAAGCTGGTATGATGACGATCCTAATTGACCATCTGTCTCAGCCGTACACTCGGGGAATTCTTCATGAACAACGTAAAGCACGACACCTCGTCCAACTGGATCAACAATTGCTGACTCGGGTCTCACAACAGGAGGCTCCCTCATATTCCCACACTCGAATTCGAAGCGATCAACTGTCTTGTCTGCTCAACCCTGCACCAACACCATCGCATGCTCTGTTTCTTCCTCATGACTACCGGTGGCATCGATGAGTCTCTCCCTCGACGTTCTAGTCGATTTGGTTCATCAGATCACGCGTTGGTATGCTTACCTGATGCAAGACCCCACAGAGCGCATAGCAGTGTCTGTCTCTCGGCATTTGAACACCTACATGGGATAGCCTACTTGCGGCTTGGATCCCCGGCGTCCAGTGGGTGGCCATCGTTGTTCTTGGATGGCGTCTAGCGTCTTTTGAGCCTAAAACCCCTAAGAAACCGGGAGAAGCCAACGCAGCCAATGCTTTGTCTAGCTAGAGCCATATTTTCGTACTGGCGAGGTTGTTAGTCGAGACTGCTTGCATGGAGAAGGTGAGGCAAAAATCCCGTCATTTCTAGCCAAATCAACTAACAATAGCCATGTCAGCTTCGAATCGATGGACAGGACCGCGGATGGCCAAACGATTGAGAGGACCCATGACCCAAGAACTACGTCCGATAGAGTCATCTTGATTCCTCTTCCTCTCCGGGTTGCTGAGCTTTTGG